CTCGGACAAGTTCGATAACCGCCATTATCCGACCGTAATTATTGGAGTTATTCCCCTTGGTTTCATTAATGCGATGCATGTGTTCCATGATGTTGAATTGCACTCATTGATCTACCAGTTATGTTGAATAATTTCTCTTTCAATATCAATTACTCACAAATACTTCATATATTTCAATCATACAAACAACTGCTCATTCAATGTGTGACGGGCGTATTATATACCGCTTGCGGTAACCTTGTTGTATTTAAGTTAGTTTCTCTGATATTTGCATCGATGGTCAAAGCAGGCATAGGCGAGACATATCAATCCGAATTGCTTGTTTGTAAATATTTCTTATTCTTCAGTCAGAGTAACCAATAGCCCTAATTGTATTATATAAACAGTATATATGTTTGAAACATTTGTGAAAATCACCTGTGCCACAATCCATCTGTAGTGATATTTATTTGCTTTTGTTCAAGCGTTATCAGCAGTGTAACATGTTAAGTAAGGTCAGAAATTTGTGGTCTGATATGGAAAGTTAACACAGTTTGGATTCACGAGATTTGATGATCTGAAAGCCAGTAAATACATTTTGACCCTCTTTTGTTTCAGAGTACACTACATGGACCCAGTGTATGAACGAGGCTACATGTACAAGACTGAAAGACTACCTGGGGCAGAGTAAGTTATAAATCTACTAGGCTAACATACTGATCAGATTAATATATACAGCCACCAGCTAAAATACTAGCTCACCTGGGGCAGAGTAAGTTATAAATCTACTAGTCTAACATACTGATCAGATTAATATATACAGCCACCAGCTAAAATACTACCTCACCTGGGGCAGTGTAAGTTATAAAGGTACAAGCTAAAATAAAACCCAGGTCAATTTTAAGTAATAAAACTTCTTATTACCACTTTTTTCTTTGAATCCAAAACCTTTTTTCACTCTTATTTAGTCCACTACCAATGTTCGGGACTTTACTTTTTGGCTGAAATTTGCAGGTTAAGGTTTTAGTTAAAGTTGTATACTGGCTCACCATTTACTTAATAATGATCTTAGGATTCTGATACTATGGTTAGAAGATTTATAGGGGTCCAGCATCAACGCTGTGGAGAATTATTTTTTTTAATGATTTTCGGAATTTTTCACAAGTTTTCGGCTTTAATAATCTTGGCCAAAATCTGCAGGTTAAGGTTTTGGTAAAATAAATATGGTGGTTCACCTTTCACTTAAAAATTGTGTTGGGATGCTGATTCTTAGATTATCTGTTGTTTCTATTCAAAGCACCAGAAATGGACATTGCTTGATTTAATACCTTCAGCATGCTTGCTTGTTGTTGTTAGCTCACCTGGCACTTCAGGTGAGCTTATGCCGTGGCGCGGCGTCCGTCGTCCGTCCCTCTGTCCGGCGTCCGGTGTCAATATTTTACTTCAAATATTTGGCCAAAAGCAAACTTGGATGAAGGGCTACAAAGTTTGTTAAAATTAATGACCTTCACCTATTTTCAAGGTCACATGGGTCAAATATGTTAAAAACTTTAAACATCTTCTTCTCAATAACCAAACTGCCCAGGGAGATGATATTTGGCCAGTAGCATGCTTGGGTGAAGGGCTACCATGTTTGTTCAATTGAATGACCTTCATTTATATTCAAGGGTGTTCAAATGAATGACCTTCATTATATTCAAGGTCACAGGGGTCAATTGTCTTAAAAAAACCTTTAAACAACTTCTTCTGAATAACCAAAATGCCCAGGGTGATGATATTTGGCCAGTAGCATGCTGAGATGAAGGGCTACAAAGTTTGTTCAAATGAATGACCTTCACCCATATTCAAATACACAGGGGTCAAATATGTTAAAAACTTTAAACAACTTCTTCTCAATAACCAAAATGCCCAGGGTAATGATATTTGGCCAGTAGCATGCTGAGATAAAGGGCTACAAAATTAGTTCAAATAAATGACCTTATATTCAAGGTCACAGGGGTCAACTATGTTAAAAACTTTAAACAATTTCTGAATAACCAAAATGCTCTGGGTGATGATATTTGGCCAGTAGCATATGCTGGGGTAAAGGGCTATCAGGATTGTTCAAATGAATGACCTTCACCTATATTCAAGGTCATAGGGGTCAAATATGTGAAAAACATTCAAAAACTTCTTCTGAATAACCAAAATACACAGGGTGATGCTATTTGGCCAGTAGCATGCTGAGATGAAGAGCTACAACATTTGTTCAAATACATGACCTTCACCCATATTCAAGGTCACAGGGGTCAAATATGTTAAAAACTTTAAACAACTTCTTCTGAATAACCAAAATGCCATGGGTGATGATATTTAGTCAGTAGCATAGTAGGATCAAGGGCTACCGAGTTTGTTTAAATGTATGACCTTGAATCATATTTAAGGTCACAAGGAGCAAATATGTTCAAAATATTTCAACAACTTCTTCTGAATAACCAAAAGGCTCAGGATGTTGATATTTAGTCAGTAGCATATGCTGGGATCAAGGACTACTATGTTTGTTAAAGTGAATGACTTTGACTTATATTCAAGGTTACAGGGGTCAAATTTGTTTAAAATCTTAAACAACCTCTTATGAATAACCATGGGTCCCAGGATGTTTTTACTTTGTAAGTTGCATCCTGAGATGAAAGGCTATACAATGTGTTCAACATAATGACTTTGTTCGACTTTCAATCACAGGGGTGAAATGTTCTACCGCTACTTAAATCATGTCTTGTGGTTACAGAATGCCTGCACGGGTCCTCAAGCCAGAGGACTTCAATAAAAGCAAGCCCTGGAAACCATGGAAACCACAGATTGGGATGTCCCGGGGGGGTTCCTCAAATCGTGGGGCCAGGGATATAGACAGCGCTCTCAGGATGATCAGGTAAGGGTTTTTACTGTTACTGTCAATGAACTTAAAGGTGTATGCTACTGTTAATGTGCTTAAGGGTATACGCTTATATTACTGATCATATACTCAAGGGTTTACACTGCTATTTATGTTAATCTATTTAACGGTGTACAAGGCTGCTATTTCTGTCAATGTACTTAAGGGTGTATGCTACTATTACTGTAATGTACTTAAGGGTGTACACACTTTTTACTGATAATTAATTAAAAGTCAAGTCAAAGGTGTACACTGCTATTACTGTTAAATGGAAAGTAAATCTAAATGATCTAAATACTTGTTAATGTTTTTAAATAGAATTTACAAAGGAAAGTTACTATAGAAGTGTCCTGGAAAGTGTTCATACTTAATGCACTACTATGCATAATGATGCATAATAGCCTTTGTGAATTTAGGAACAAAAGAAGGGTTATCTCCCTTTAGTTAGAAGATGTTTACTAATAACTAAATTTAAACAAAAATTCTTTCACAAGTTGTGTGTTATGATTAATAGAATCTTCCCCTACCTTGAAGGTATAACAGAGAAATCTCCAACCTAAGGGATGATATTCTTGATTGTCTTACCGAAGCTTTGCCTGTTTAGCAGTGGTCAGTCCAACAATTGTTTAATGTTTTTGGCTAGTACATTGTTCAGTTCAAATGTTTCTTAGTGTGTACTTGGCCAGCATATTGTTCAGTTCAACCACCTGTTTTTATCTGCAGACATGGTACGAGCGGTGGCGGGGGACATGACCAGAGGGGTTCTTGGAACAGTGGCAGGGGAGACAACCGATCACATGGAGGAAATGTGCCCTCTCTGCTCTCATATAGTAAGTATACTTGAGTAACCAGCTTTTTAGCCCACCATCAGATTGATGGTGGGCTATTCCAATCACCCTGCGTCCGTGGTCGGTCCTCCGTCCTTAAACAATTCTTGCTATCGGTATTTCTCAAGAAGTACCAGAGGAATCTTTCTCAAATTTTATATGTAGGTTCCCCTTGGTCCTTAGCTGTGCAGGGCAACTTTTGAGACTGATCAGATAAACAACATGGCCGATAGGCAGCCATCTTGGATTTTGATAATGAAAGATTGTTATTGGTATTTCTCAAGAAGTACCAAAGGGATCTTCCTCAAATTTTATATGCAGGTTCCCCTTTGTCCTTAAATGTGCAGTGCAACTTTTGAGACTGATCGGATAAACAACTTGCTCAAGAGACCAAAAGTTGTCAAAAGTGAGGTAGTCACTGACCCAACAAAAATAGTTTGGGCGACTGTCGAAAAAAAATTTGGAAGACTTGAATGGAGTGGATCATGTCAGGTTTTAACCCTTAGGCTGCTACGCGCGACATATGTCGTTTTGAAAAGGCGGGCTGTCAGTGCTACGCACGACATATGTCGTTTCTCGGTCTGTAGTCGGGTTGTTGCTATACCAAACCCGAACGTGTATAGTAGAAGGCTTCTGATTGGTTGTTTTGTCATTACTTTCGATATTCACGGCAGTGTACCCTAGTAATAACCAAAGGTGTGCGAGAGAATTTCAAATCGAAAAAAAAAATCATAAAAATGGCGGACGTGTAGATTGAAGCGATAAATATGATGGTAAACATTTATTCTCCATCGTCACCTACGATGATAATAAAGGTTTTGAAGGGTTTGGCATGGTTGATGTGGAAATACTTCGGTGTAACATAATATGTAACTTTCCAATAAACGGATTTGTGCCCTACGCAAACAGGAAAATATCGGCGGACTGAGACGCACATGTTGTCTGCAGGTGAGGCCGAAGTGAACATTGACATTGATACGTTTTGAGCCGTTTTATTTCTTCAAACTTTTTATCGGTGATTTAATCATAAACTAGACCGTAGCTAAGATATATCTATATGCCGACTGTGACAGTAAATGTATTGAATGGCGACCTGAAACCTGTAGCAAATCACATGCAATTCTTGACGAAATACCTGACCTTTTTACCTGAAAATCTCCGTGTAAATATACAGCGTCTTATGTCAAAAATGAAGATTATAATCTCTGTTATCATTTGCCAATCAGATTTGCGGACGAAAATAATTTAAAAAGGATCTTCCTCTTGCTTAAATCCGATTAATTAAAAGTTTCACATTTTCTTACCTTTATTACCACCTGTACAGGTAAATACTGAAGCAACTTTAGAATTGAAAAGGTTCATATAAACTAGAGACAACAACGAACAATTTTCATACAACTATTTTCCACATATAACAAATATTTTCCAAGTTATACACATTTGAAAAATCAAGTAAATTAATTTAAATTTCAATAATTAATTCAGCAGTGGTGTCCCTTTACATAGAAATCAATGTAGCAGCCTAAGGGTTAACTAGGGTTGAAGAATTAAAAATATAATGTCTTATTCTGTTTTACATATTACTAACATTGTCATGTTATATGTAATTTAAATGTGATGAAGTATTGTGTTAAATGCTGTGGAAATATTTCTTCCCAAAATGATTTGGGCATGAGGGATATTTCTCAAAGGACCTGTTACAGGAACAAAAGAATTTTGCCCACAAAGCAATTTAACCATTACTGGGTTATATTTGTAGCTCCCTAAGTCACGACCCATGAGATATTTTTTAAAAATTAAAAAGGTCCCCAGGGCCTGTGCTATGAACTATTTAGTGCCGCCTTCCAAAGGTGTACGACAGGGTTCACTTTTTTGTCCAAAAAACTATCAAAACAATGTTTTACGCTACCAAATAATATTATATTATTTAGAATAGGATCTGCTGCAAATTATGAACTCAAATATGCAACAAAACATTGCATAATAAAAAAGTTATAAAATCTTAAACTCTAAAAATGTTGGTATTTT